CCTCCAAGGTGTGTTCACCTGTGTGTGTGGTGTTGGGTGCTGCCTCCATGGTGTGTTCACCTGTGTACCTGTGTGTGGTGTTGGGTGCTGCCTCCATGGTGTGTTCACCTGTGTACCTGTGTGTGGTGTTGTGTGCTGCCTCCATGGTGTGTTCACCTGTGTACCTGTGTGTGGTGTTGGGTGCTGCCTCCATGGTGTGTTCACCTGTGTACCTGTGTGTGGTGTTGGGTACTACCTCCATGGTGTGTTCACCTGTGTACCTCTGTGTGTGGTGTTGGGTGCTACCTCCATGGTGTGTTCACCTGTCTCTCTGTGTGTGTCTGTTTCACACTACATTCAGCAATATTCCAGCTATAATGACGACTTGTCAGTAATGGCTTCTGGACCACACGATACAGTGATTGATAGTGTGACTGTGAACAATGATCAGTGTCATGAGGTACAATGAGGGAGGGGAATAGGTAAGGGAATATTGTTTTTGTGCTGAAAGCATGAACTAAGGTCTTATAGTAAAATTGAGTTTTAAAGGATTTAAGTGTTTGACCAACAGTGTGACAGTCTTGAGGACATGACCTTGGCAATCATGTGAATGGGAGTTAGCTCCCTTTGTGACTCTGATCGAATTTGAGCAAAGGCAGGTGTGAGGCATGCTCAGAGACATGTTATAAGATTCTTATTCAGCACTAATAATGTTACTTTGGCAAGATGCTGAATGTTTATGTGCCAGAATCATGCTGCCTGTAGGCACAGTTTTATTGAATGTTTGTAAATCTGTCATTAACAGATTGTAGGATTCACTGTGTGAATGTCATGTTTTCTTGACAAGTGTGAACTTCTGTGACAGAATGAGTCCAGTATGCAGACATGCCAGTGGGTGTTTTAAGGATGTTCATATCACACAGCATGACTGTTTTGCATTAGGTGGTAGTGCAAGGTCTGTGTGAAATATTTGTGACAAGTGTCTTTGAAAGACAAGCCCAATGGTTACTGGTACCTCTCTAGAAGGATTTTAACAAAACTACTTGTAGAAGAACGATAACTCCTGTAGTAAAACGCACTGGCATTTTGCTGTTCATATAAAAACATTGTTTCACTATATAATGATAGTAATAATATATACCTTCATGTGTGTTATTTTATGTGCCGTATTCACCTATATAGAACAAAGTGTGTTGCTTGTGGATAAATCTGGTTTACAACCTAACCAGCATACACTAAAACAGGACCAGGCAGGGTTAGCGTGCTTGGTGCACCTTCTACAGTAAACACTTTTATAGTTTTAGGGACTAGCCATTTGTATTGGAACTTCTTCGGTATTTCATATGCCATCCTGACCACAAAATATTGTGCTGCAAGCACTCCACATGGTTCACCACAGTTCAAACTGGCTATTATGGTATTCACCCATTTCAGCTACCTTGTATTACCCATTTTCACTATAATTGATTTCTCCAAGTTTAAGGTTTCAACTCTTGGAATAAAGTCAAAGCCACAAATACTCATGCAGTGCCCGTGATGTTTTATTCTTGTGATGTTGTATATTAAGAACCCCCAGGAAACTGAGACTACTGACAGCCTCACATGAACAATAATTTCAGACAATATGGTCGGACCTCAACTGCATCTATTTATCATTTATAATGGGAGTACATGGTTTCATTAATGTTGAGGCTCCTAATGACAGAATATATTGTGCCCTGTTGACACATGTATTTGTCTGGTGATGCTCTGGTGCAGCATATGAGAACTCGTGATCAAAACAAAGCATTCCACAGTTTTCATATATGAACCATGGATGTTTGACATGAACTCAGTGTTAGTGTAGATTCTGTTGATGGTTCTGTGTGTTCTGTGTTCGTGTGTGTGTGTGTGTGTGTGTGTGTGTGTGTGTGTGTGTTGTGTGTGTGTGTGTGTGTGTGTGTGTGTGTGTGTGTGTGTGTGTGTGTGTGTGTGTGTGTGAAGCAAACAAATGCCAATTTGGCACAAACTCAGTTTTTCAAGGGAAGGCTTTGTGATTTGGTTTTGTTGTTCCAGCTCTGGTCTGGGAGTGAGTATGGTTTTACGCCACTTTTAGCAATATTCCAGCAATATCACGGCAGAGGACACCAGAAATGGGCTTCATACATTGTACCCATGTGGGGAATCGAACCCAGGCCTTCAGCGTGACGGGCGAATGCTTTAACCACTAGGCTACCCCACCAGCGCTAGTACCACATTGAATAAAATCCTCTGATTTCATAACGTTGCTTCAATCGAGGCAACATATGCTGCACATCCCAAGTTATCCTGTATCTATGGTCATAATAAATAAACGTTTACCATTGTCTGACTATGTACATAACAGTGACTTTGATGATGTTACTCAGCATATTCTTGACTCTCCATTTAGTCATGATGGGATTGAAGTTGCCATCAACAACTTAAAGAATAACAAAGCAGCTGGTAAAGACCAATTAATAGCAGAGATGTTTAAATGTGCAAGCGATTTATTTGTGCCATTTATTACTCTACTGTTCAACGCCATGTTTGATGCAGCCATGTTCCCTAGTTCCTGGACAGTAGGTCACATTAACCCAGTCTATAAAAAGGGTGATGATAAGTCTCCGGGGGACTATAGGGGTATCACATTACTCACTGTTTTCAGTAAATTGTATATTTCGGTTCTAAATGCAAGGCTGTGATCTTGGGTTAAAACAGAGTTGTATCTTCATCCGTTATTATTCAGTTTTTTTATTAATGATCTAAACTCTAAAAGTGGTATTATAAGGGTCAGTTGCAGTGTCTCCCTTCATATAAATATCTAGGTGTAGTCTTTTTCAAAAAGCTTATCCTGGTCAAGACACATTGATAATATTGTTTTACAAGCAAAACAGGCTTTCTCTTTGGCATCTTACTCTCTTTTTCACATATTAAACCATTGCCTTTGAGATTTTCTTTCAGTATCTTCGACTCTAAGGTGCTTCCAATTCTGATGCATGGTGTTGACGTCTGGGGATTATATGCTTGTAAAGAAATAGAATCAGTCCATATTCTGGCCTGTAAACGTGTCTTGGGTGTAAAGTCAGCAACATCTAATGAAGTTTTTGGAGGGGAATGTGGCAGAAACTACCTCTACGCTGTCAGATACGCAAAAGTTTCAGAAACCCTCAAGTTGTACTGTGTATACGATGAGTAATTTTATCAAATGGTATGACATAAGGCAGAACATATATAACACTGCATATGGGCTGGTATATGTTCCAGGCCTTCATGTACTTGTATAGCACCCCGTAAAATGATGCATCACTGTACATGGACTGTTATATCGTCCATGGCTTGATACACTTGTATAAAACCTTATGAAATCTATTGTATCACTGCATATAGACTGCTATACCACCCATACATTGATGTACTTGAATGAGTGAGTACCTTACTGTATGTTTTGAATATTTATGATAATGTTTGGTCTTTATCTTCATTTATATATTAAGGTTGATTATGTAAGAGAATAATTTGATAATGATTTCTTCCGGAGATGTTTAGTTTAATGAGCACTCCCTTGCTTGGCGCCATATTGTTTTTTGCCGTAAAGTGTTGGATGTGAGATAGCATGCGAGAGGACAGAAGTTATAAATTCACAGAGATATATCGATGTTTATTGCTGGGAGACACACTCTTCAGGTATTTGATTAGCTGTAGAATTTGAATATGATGTTTATTATTATTGTCAAACTGTAGGTTTTTCATTATTTTGCATTTAAATGTGAGTGCAGTGAAACAGACTGAGATTTGGAAGAGTCCATTATGTAGAGTACAGGTATTGTTAGATATCAGCATTTTATGTACACGTTCCCTTGTCAAGATCATCTATCGAGTATATTAGAGAGAAGGTGTATATTTATAGTGTTTTAAATCAGAGTTATTTTCAGTGTATGACCTACATTTCAATATGTTTTGGCCACCTGTCACCCCTTTGGTCAAATAGAGTAGGACTTCCATTTCTTGGAATTGAGAGTCAGAGATGCACTGTTTCCAAGAATTTGCGTGTGACAGTGATGTTTGTTTACAAGTACATTGCAGTATTTTTGAGTGTAGATTGGAGTTGTAAGATATGTTATTAATTGTCTTATTATATTCAGGGTATGATAGATTATTTCTGGCAGTGTAAAGTTTAATCTCAATATTTTATTGTTCATGATTCAGAGAGGCATAGTTATGACGTCACATATATTATACAAACACTTCATTATATGAGAGATTAAGTGTAAACATTTCTGAATTATGAAGAAGTTATTTATCTGAGTTTTATGAGTGTACAAATGACAAAGAGAGAGTAGATAATAGAGAATATATTGTATACTTATGAGAGCTCATTATTGTTTTCAGAACTCCATGATCCATACTTCCTTGTGTTTGGGAATAAATGTTGTTGGAAGACGTCCCACAATAGACTTGTTCTTTGACCTGTGAACCACTGTATATGGACTGTTATATCTTCCACTGTAAAGTCCTGACTTGCTATATCCTCCATACCTTAAATCTCCGCCTTGCTGTACTTGTACCAACACTTTACAATGTATCACTGTATACATATGGCTGATGGGGCCCTGTGCAACTGAATTGGCTTTTTGAAGATCATAGAATGATATGAAAAATTACATCTAATGAAATTTCGTAATGCATGCTTTCGCTGCAATCCGACGTCCGAATTAGTTCCAAACATGTTCCTTGGGAGCTGTAACTGTTAAGAATGTGGATGTTGAGCCAGGTGGGTCATCGACATCCCACCTGTATCTCACTGTGCGTGGTCCTGGTGCAACAACTAAAGATGAAGCTGTACAACAAACATGGGGACTCATGTCTCACAGCATCTGCTGATCCTGCTCCGCTTGGCCTTGACAGCTGACAGCCATGGGTGCATGGGTGCAGGTGTTGTGGGGTGCAAGGTGCTTGACCCATGGGTGCGACTCTGTAGGTAGACCACAACGGTAGGCGTCCATGGTGACCCAGGCAGGTGGGCGACTGGTCACATACCTGGATTCATCCACGAGCCATTCTCTTGTGTATTGTGACTATTGAACTGGTGTTTGACTTAAACCTTTATAAAGGGTAAAGATCACAATTCATGTTTGGGGTTCATTGTTGATGGTTTTGTGACACCATATTGGATGCCCCAAGTTCCATACCGACTTAATGGAATGGTTAGTTACACTTACAACATTTCAAACAAATTGCAACGCGTTTCCTTTGCAGCACAGTGCATTACATACATCACATTAGAGAGTTTGGAAGTATGTGACACTATAAATGAGCCATGTGTACACAATTCTATATTTAATCATCAGTTCTGGTTGTAGGTGGAGGAAGTAGAAATAAAGTATGTGAACTAATACATTTATGTTCATGTCACTTTATTGTATTTACGGGTGATAGAAATACATCTGTAGTTTCTTTGAATTAATACAGATGATGAAATTAATTAACTGCCGATCTTCACGTACATGAACCCAAATCGCTCCTACATGAACCCAAATCGCTCCTACCCCAGGATAGAGGAGACGCGCATGACAGTAAAGCGGCTTAGTACCAAACTCCAGTGTAGTAACAGAAATGGTCCACAGTCAATCTAAGCAAATAAAAGGATGTAGTCAAACGTTCGGCTAATCAAAGCTGAAAATAGTACACAGTTTAACTTCTTTGAATGGAATTTAGATGTTGGTGTGATGAACAACGGGGAAAGTTGCAGTCACTTTTAGCTTGAAAACGGTTTAAGAACCTACATCGAAATATCGCTGTATGCAATAAACATGAAGTTGTCATCGATAAAGTTGTATGTTTCATTTTCAGACCACATACCAGCCAACTACTAGTGATTCTGCCACGGAGGAGGCACCTTCATCATTTATGAGGACCAGCTACTGGATGATGCAAGAACAGTTTGAGCTGGAACCAAAGTGTTTGGGAGGACCACAGTACATGGTCAAGACGTTGATCAACAACATCGGGAGTATTCCAGATAACAACTTCATTCCAGCTGGAGGTAACCCCTTTGATGAACCACTTTCTGTTTGCCAGTTCATCGTTTATGTATAATCAACACTGGTAACATACATGAAGAGACAAAATTTGGTCGAAATGGGACTGCTGGTTTCAGAGTTACGGGTGTTTGAAGTGTATTTGAGGGCTAGAAATCGTAAAGAAACACAAGCAAGAACCGCGAGAGGATCTTTGAAATGCAGCCGAGGTCGCATGGTGATGTACCTTCAAAGTAGTTCCGTTAAAGAAATAGTTCACTCGTTAACAGCTCGTTGCTCTGTTGTCTCTGGGTCTACAGTCAAAACAAAAGGCAGTGTATGAAATAAGCCAAAAACCCAGCCAGACATCAGGGCATGTAACTTTAAAATGTTACCAGCCCAAAATGGATTTAGCCAGACCAAATATGGTGAATATACTCAGATATATGGAACATCTACAATTTTTACCAGACCATCGGGCTGGCTAGCTGTCAATTTAGACCGTCCGTCAGAAATCTTGACCATCTCGGGCGGTTGGACGGGCCTTATTTCATACACTAACTTTCAATTAATTTTGAATTATCTGACGGCAAACAGAAAATGAGCCGAAGTTCCAAAGTTGAAAAAGTGCTCCAAGCTCTATCAGCCATTTGCAATGAGAGGAGAGGCAAGTCTTTCAATGATACAGAGTGTGTGTGTATGTTTGGTTCCTTCAGGTAAGTGAAATATTAACAAGAGTTACCTACCCCAGCCATGATCACTGATCAACTTCGTATAGCAGGTCCCAACCCAAACCTTAACCCTGAAACTCTTTCATTGCCCTGTCCACATTTTAATTTAAGAGGATGATTTTATGGTCCTTCAAGCAATTCAACAACTGACAAGAGTTACCTGCCCCTTTCATGTTATCTGATCAACATCGCATAGCAGCCCTTATCCTAACCCTAACCTCAACAAGAAAGGTTGATTTGTTCCACACTATTACTATCACAACCGACCCAAACACAAATTTCTGTCTGAATGTTTGATATATCAAGTATCTGCATTCAATAACACGACCGTCAATTTAAGGGACAAAGGCTAAAACCTGGGATTAGTCTTGCAAAATGACTCTAATGCTTAGACCTGATATGTACCCAGAACGCTTTAAATTGAAGACAGAAGGGTAGTGCTCATAAATTTCAATGATGTCATCATTTTCTCTGTCCGTCAGGCTCCCTGACTTGGTTGACACAAGTCATTATATCCCACTTGCATAGATCGATGCTCATAATATGTTGATCAAGGGATTGTCTAGTCCAAACTCTATTGTTTGCAGACCTCTGTCATTTTGCTGGATTATATCTGAGGGCGGCTTTAAACAGCCAACCAACCAACCATCCATACTACAAAACAATGACATGAACACATATGTCAAATATTACTTTATAATCATACCATAATTCTCAAAACTCCCTCAGAAAATGAGCCAATGTTCCAACCTTGGAAAGGCGCTCCAATCTATGTCAGCCATTTGCAATAAAAGGGAAGGTAACTTTTCTTTCCATTTCCTGTGCACATTTATGTATAAAAAGGGGATTTTATGTCCCTTCAAGTTATTAAATTTTGACAGAGTTACCTGCCCGTCATGATCACTGATCAACTCCTAATAGGAGCCCCTGCCCTAACCCGACCCCTAACACGGTTAGACTTGAGGCTATGTTATGTAGGAGCCCCTACCCTAACCCGACCCCTAACCCGACCCCTAACCCATCTAGTCTTGAGGCTATGTTATGTAGGAGGCCCGGAACATTTTGTTTCATTTGTAGTGCTTGTAACAGTATATGAGTGGATGTAACACATCAGTATAAATATATCTGTTTCATTTTAAAGTGAAAACAACGTTTGATTTGGAGCACACAATTGTGTGAACAGCAATCCAAACATTTTGACGGGGAAGGATATTTGTTGGTCATAAACTTGAGAAGTGTCTCTATTATCATCACCCACAACGGAAACAGCTCACAGGTGTTTCCGTTGGTGGTGATGTTGACAGTACCCACAATTCTGAGAACATCCTCTGGATTCATGCAATATGTCCGAAGTGGTACTGTCATCTTGAACGGTAGGGGTCGTTGTCGGCACAGGTACTACAGATATGTACCCCAGGTACGTTTCTGTATACAGACATGTACCCTAAAAAAGTCAAACTACAGAAACGTACCCGGTACCCTAAACGACGGACGAGTCCATATTCCACAACCCCAAACCAAAACCGTATGTAGTTGTTCCCGTTCAGCTCAATGCGGGTGATGTACGTTGTGCACCGTTACTGTGTATGCTCTTATATAACACAATCAAATGTAATACAACAGTATGACAGTTCCGATCAAGAAAACTCCACAATGCAGAATGGAATCGTCCAAGGGTACAATTCTGTATTATGATTTTTTCTACGGTACATTTCTGTATATAGAAACATACCTGGGGTACACATCTGTAGTACCCGTGCCGACGAACGACCCCTTCAGCCTCATTTGACAGTCATGAGTAGCGATCAGTATTGGAAGGAAGTGAAATTCAGTCAGGTGGAAGGTCGAGGTGAAGAGGGTTGAAATATGTATAACTGATGTTGAATCGTTTTAAGTCATCTGCTACATAAGTACAGCTAAGAAATAATTAACCTGTTGGGATTTGATAAGGTTTCTTGGAGCAACACAATCGTTCAGCCTATTCTGCAGTTTCCACACTGTCAACCCTAGGATGTTGAATCGTTATATTAAACTCGTCAAGTCTATGTATATTTAAATCATGAACACTGGAACTTGTTCTTACTGTGCAGTCTACCTGTAAACCCTTTTCAGGATATTCTGAGGTAGCTTAACTCTGTACCCATGTGTAGTTATGCTCTACAAGGGAGCACAGTTTTCAAAACGCAGCTGTTTGGAAATTTGATGCAGCCCAAGTGTAGATCAGACAACTTGAAATCTGTGTGCTAAATCACTTGGTTCAGACTTATAAACATAAAAAAGACGTATCTGATCACTGCATAAATTTCAAAGGAGGAAGTTTATTTTCCTAATGGATGGATGTATCTGAATGGAGATCAGTCTGAATGAGTGTACATTTGTATCAACAGATCAATCAAAAGACAATAACGCTGATTATTTATTGAAACAATGCATGTTATAAATAGGGGTGTGACGATACAGAAATTTCACGAAACGATATGTATCGCGATATTTTGGAACGATTCGATTCGATTCAATTCGATGCACACGCGATATGCTATCTTTAGTTATTTTCTTTAAAAAAGTGTATTTTGATAGCAAGTAACAGCGTAAATTCTGAAATAACGGTCAGTTTCCAGTAAAAATTAACAATTTTAAGGTCAATGATGCATATCACGATACGAAAAAAAGTATCGATATATATTTATCGTTAGATAAAGTATCACAATTTTTGATACTACGATATATTGTCACAGCTCTAGTTATAAAGGACTTGCACGACATTAGCAACGTGACTTCTTTCGGGTTATTACTACTAAAGCGGTCCTTGCGATATCTAAAGCTGGTGTATCATGCCTCAAGTACTCTATAGTTGACGAGCGCCTTGTAACACCGTCTCTATCCTGTCGATACCTGTGGAAAACATAATGGTGACAGAGTAAACGAACACGCAGAAAAAGCCATCATCCTAAAGAAAGTAAACGAACAAGCTGAATAAACCATCATCCTAATGAAAGTGTACACCTGGTGTTCATTTGAATCATTTGATAATTTGAAAAAAAACCAAAAAACATATTTTTAACTGAGTTTTGAATGTGACAAGCATTATGTATGTATTGCAATAACACTACAGATATGCAAATCTTGATTTGGTAAATCATATGAATCGAATGTTTTACGGTAACAGTAGAAAACACAGATGATTAAGGATGCTACTGGTATATGTGTTAAAGGAACACATCAATACGCCAAGATTGTCAGGAGCGAAGTGAGAATGAGCCATTGAATTATCGCAGAGAGGGGTCTGCTCAAATGTTTGGCTCTACAAGGGAAACCGTCATCAGAGAGGTTACTGCATTCTGTAGCTATCCGGACTCAATGACCACTTCGGGGCATGTGAAAAATTTGTCATCATCGACTGAATTGTCCACGTTGGACAAGGACCGTGGCTCTTTGGCAACATCATAATTATGTATGATATCTGTTGTGTTTTGGCAATTTCACAGCCAAAATGTTCATGACTTGCCACAATGACAAAATATCTTTTCAAAAGATTACGATGGTTGTTTTGGACAATAATCCCCTAACACCGGGGCCATATTGTCTTTGCTACGCCATTTTACTATGTCATAACTTGAAATATCAATCTCCGTTTGGGTGTACACAAGATGTGCTGATCATAATTTAATTGTGGAACGTAGAGCTAAGTGGTAACATAAGATAGTTCCATCTGGTTGGAGGCATGTAAGTGAGTAGTTCCATCGTTGGAGGCAACGTAAGACTCACCCAACTGGAGTAGTTCCATCTGGTTGGAACAACGTAGTACTGACTCATCTGGAGTAGTTCCATCTGGTTGGAGGCAACAATCCTGAACCAGCCTACTGCTCTGCACTGTAGACTCACCCAACTGGAGTAGTTCCATCTGGTTGGAGGCAATGTAAGCTAGAATGTAGCAACCTTTCCACTGATAGAAGCGAGCCTGGAGTTGGTCCTCAGCCTCGTAAGGTTGGAGTATCCAGGTACTAAACGGTATACACACATGCATGTATCTAGCATGTTTGCATGGAAAGGTCGATGGATGGATGTGCTTGCGTGTGTGAAACGAATGAACGAATAGATAAATACAGATATTGGTATGTACAAATGTTGCATATGTTGGTGCAAATGATTTGACGAAAAGACCAAGAACAATTATAGATAATAGCATATCATAAATATCCAAGAAATGAAGTCATCGCAACCATTTAGAGATAAAATATTTAGTTTGGTGCATGGTGTTTCCAGTCAAGTGTGAGTCAGCAAAAATCACAGGATCCTCACATGATCACCTACTGTGGTGAAAAATCACAGGATCCTCACATGATCACCTACTGTGGTGAATGGCATTGTGTAACAGCACTGTTGTGAAATTGTCGACCCTACTGTGGTGAAATTGTGTAACTACTTAAAGCTCAGGTCACAAATCGGTGAAGTTTGTGAAATTGTCGAGTCCTACTGTGGTGAAAGAGTTTTGTGTAACTACTGTTGTGAAAGTGAGTTTGTTCAAAATTGTCTCTGTTCACCTACTGTGGGTACCCGGTGGAAAAAGTTGTGACTATAACCTTATAGCGCCTAACAGGTGGGTTATCCGGGGTGAAATTGTCTTGATTGTACTGTGGTGAAATTGTGTAACTACTGTTGTGAAATTGTCGACCTACTGTGGTGAAATTAGCAAGTGTACTTACTGTGGTACCAGCACTGTGAAATTGTCGACCTACTGAAGTGAAATTGTAGGTGCAATGTATAGCACTGAGCTAACCCCTAACTCTGGTACCAGCACTGGATTAGTATAGCAAAATGGCAGCTTGAGGATTAGTATAGCACTGAGCTAAGTCTACCCCTAACTCTGGTACCAGCACTGGATTAGTATAGCACTGAGCTAAGTCTACCCCTAACTCTGGTACCAGCACTGGATTAGTATAGCACTGAGTTAAGCACCTAACTCTTCCAGCACTATTAGTAAGCTCTGAGTATGCCACCTGCTATCACCAGTACCTAGATTAGTATAGCACTGAGTTAAAGGCACCCCTAACTCTGGTACCAGCACTTGTGTGGAGAGCTTCTTTACTTCATTATTATTTCTCACATTTTGCCGATGTTTTGCTATCAGAGTACCTTCGACATGTTTGCCCATGCAAAAAAGCCAGCCTTGCTTTGATGAACTGTAATCCCCAACTTTGCTAGTCGTCCAGTGACATACGTCATGCTGTCGTTGAGACGTTGCTTGTATGTGGGGAAGTAGATGTGGTCAAGCCATTCTGTCCACACAGTAGCAAATTGGATCATAATGTGCATTATTACTGCTATATGTGGCAAGCAACAACACTTTCACCTGTCATTGAGGCACAGATACATGTACTGACTTTCTCAAGTATAGCGAGATGTATAGTTTGTCATGAAATGCATGTGGACCCGTTCTTTTGTAAATATCTCTTCATCCAATGACCCAATCGATCTCAAACAGTGCAAGTGGATGTTTTGTCAGACAACCTAATCACATTGTAAATCACCGATTTTATGCATTTGTATTAAAGAATCTGTCTATGTAACTGTCAACAAAATAAACAGCCAATGACCTGTAACAGTGATAGACTGTTTGGATCATTCACATTGACTATTTCTAGCTGTCATCATGAAAGCTTATTCAGATGATGCTAAATGTTTAATTAGAAATGTGTTTAATTTTTTAAAAAAAGAGAGCAAACGTAGCAAACCGATTTATAAGGTGTCGGATTACATGAAACATGCAACTTTTGCCCTTGGCATGAAAAAGAACATCGTGCTAACAATTGTGAAAAATAAACCAACAACCAATAAACAAAACCTTGTACAAAAAGGTAGGCATCCAAAGTTAGATTCTTTTGACATAAGGGTCATCAGCATAGCTGACCTTCATTGACAAACGTTGACCTTTATGACCCAACACTGCCGCTGTTACAGGTCATTGGCTCCCTCCCTCCGCAAGCCTTCTGCGTTCTGCTGTTTCTTTTGTTGACAGTTACATAGACAGATTCTTTAATACAAATGCTTAAAATCGGTGATTTACAATGTGATTAGGTTGTCTGACAAAACATCCACTTGCACAGTTTGAGATCGATTGGGTCATTGGATGAAGAGATATTTACAAAAAAACGGGTCCACATGCATTTCATGCCAAACTATAGACATTTGCATTGACTTTCAATAAGACGTCGAGTCGTAAATATAGGATGTGACAGACATAAGTACTTTCAAATCCCGATGAGTGGAATCGCTGGGGACCAAGTAATAAATTCGTCTTATCGATGTATTCGAGACATAGGTTTGTCTATGAGGGTAGAAAAAAGATGATCCAGTCCTAATTCCTCCACCTAATCATTTGTTTACCTAATGATTTCCCTATCACTAATAGGGACACCTTATCAGTTCCAGTCTGATTAGCACAGACAGTGATTTCCGTAAAATCACTAATCTGCCTTTTGAACTCACCTGTCAATGGCGGAAAGGTGAGCCGCGCTGGTTTGTTAATTTGATCAGTTTGCTACACCAATCAACTTCTCATTGACTGACTTCGGCTTATGTATACAAGATTGCTGTTGTTTGAATCTCATGGGACCAAATTCCCTTCTCGAGTCATCGTGTGTATTTATGAGACGAATTCGTGCAACCGGTATTCAAATGATGACAACTATAACAGGGAATGGTCGGGACCAACAGGTACTTCGAGTTATGCATAATATTCGAGACACCGGCATTCGACTCATCGGGATTTGACTGTATTATGAGATGGAGAGGCATCAAGTGACAGGTTTTGAGTGTCATCGATACAGTGAGACGCAGAAGACTGTGCTGACTTCCTCGTGCGTGACACCTTATACATAGGGAATCATGCATATGTATGTCAAGGTTCACCTTTGTCTTTGATAAGTTCCTGCAGCTTCAGTTGTACCGAGGCGGCTGCCTGCTGGAAAATCCCCACTTTTTCTGCATATTGAATGATCTTACGGTTCCTTGTATGGAGAACACCGCATCTGTACCCGGAGAGGCCAAGGTCCTACAGTATGTAATAAACGGTATTACAGGTCTATTCTTAATCATTGTGACATTCCAGGAAGAAGGTAACAAACTGACTCTTTCCTTTGTTAATAAATTATCTGTCATGATGAAGATAGCACAGAGACTGTCACCTGTTTCATAATTACCTACCATGACAAAGGTGAGACAACGATTGTCATGTCATGTCATAGTGAAGGTAAGACAACGATTGTCATCTCCTGTCATAGTGAAGGTAAGACAACGATTGTCATCTCCTGTCATAGTGAAGATAAGACAACGATTGTCATCTCCTCTCATAGTTAAGGTAAGACAACTATTGTCATCTCCTGTCATGGTGAAGGTAAGACAACGAGTGACATCTCCTGTCATAGTGAAGGTAAGACAATGATTGACATCTACTGTCACAGTGAAGGTAAGACAACGATTGTCATCTCCTGTCATAGTGAAGAGAAAATGATCGTCATGTCTTGTCATAGTGAAGAGAAAACAATTGTCATGTATTGTCATAGTGAAGGTAAGACAACGATTGTCATCTCCTGTCATAGTGACGGTAAGACAACAATTGTCATCTCCTGTCATAGTGAAGGTAAGACAACGATTGTCATCTCCTGTCATAGTGAAGGTAAGACAACGATTGTCATCTCCTGTCATAGTGAAGGTAGGACAACGATTGTCATCTCGTGTCATGGTGAAGGTAAGACAACGATTGTCATCTCCTGTCATAGTGAAGGTAAGACAACGATTGTCATCTCCTGTCATAGTGAAGGTAAGACAACGATTGTCATCTCCTGTCATAGTGAAGGTAAGACAACGATTGTCATCTCCTGTCATAGTGAAGGTAAGACAAGGATTGTCATCTCCTGTCATAGTGAAGATAAGACAATGATTGTCATCTCCTGTCATAAGGAAGAGAAAATAATTGTCGTGTCCTGTCATAGTGAAGGGAAGACAATGATTGTCATGTCCTGTCATAGTGAAGGTAAGACAATGATTGTCATCTCCTGTCATAGTGATGGTCAGACAACGATTGTCATCTTCTGTCAAAGTGAAGGTAAGACAACGATTGTCATCTCCTGTCATAGTGAAGGTAAGACAACGATTGACATCTCCTGTCATAGTGAAGGTAAGACAATGATTGACATGTACTGTCATAGTGAAGGTCAGACAACGATTGTCATCTTCTGTCAAAGTGAAGGTAAGACAACTATTGTCATCTCCTGTCATAGTGAAGGTAAGACAATGATTGACATATACTGTCACAGTGAAGGTAAGACAACGATTGTCATCTCCAGTCATAGGGAAGAGAAAACGATTGTCATGTCCTGTCATAGTGAAGGTAAGACAAGGCTTGCATCTCCTGTCATTGTAAAGGTAAGACAACGATTGTCATCTCCTGTGATAGTGAAGGTAAGGCAAGAATTGTCATCTCTTGTCATAGTGAAGGTAAGACAATGATTGTCATCTCCTGTCATAGTGAAGGTAAGACAAGGATTGTCATCTCCTGTCATAGTGAAGGAAGACAAGGATTGTCATGTCCTGTCATAGTGAAGGTAAGACAACGATTGTCATCTCCTGTTATAGTGAAGGTAAGACAATGATTGTCATCTCCTGTCATAGTGAAGGTAAGACAACGATTGTCATCTTCTGTCAAAGTGAAGGTAAGACAAGGATTGTCATCTGTCATAGTGAAGGTAAGGCAATGATTGACATCTGTCATAGTGAAGGTAAGACAATGATTGACATCTACTGTCATAGTGAAGGTAAGACAACGATTGTCATCTTCTGTCAAAGTGAAGGTAGGACAACTATTGTCATTTACTGTCATAGTGAAGGTAAGACAATGATTGTCATCTACTGTCAAAGTGAAGGTAGGACAACTATTGTCATCTCCTGTCATAGTGAAGGTAAGACAAGGATTGCATCTCCTGTCATTGTGACGGTAAGACAACGATTGTCATCTCCTGTCAAAGTGAAGGTAAGACAACGATTGTCGTCTCCTGTGATAGTGAAGGTAAGGCAAGAATTGTCATCTCCTGTCATAGTGAAGGTAAGACAATGATTGTCATCTCCTGTCATAGTGAAGGTAAGACAACGATTGTCATCTCCTGTCATAGTGAAGGTAAGACAATGATTGTCATCTCCTGTCATAGTGAAGGTAAGACAAGGATTGTCATCTCCTGTCATAGTGAAGGTAAGACAACGATTGTCATCTCCTGTCATAGTGTAGGTAAGACAACGATTGTCATCTCCTGTCATAGTGAAGGTAAGACAACGATTGTCATCTCCTGTCATAGTGAAGGTAAGACAACGATTGTCATCTCCTGTCATAGTGAAGGTAAGACAACGATTGTCATCTCCTGTCATAGTGAAGGTAAGACAATGATTGTCATCTCCTGTCATAGTGAAGGTAAGACAACGATTGTCATCTCCTGTCATAGTGAAGATAAGACAAGGATTGTCATCTCCTGTCATAAGGAAGAGAAAATAATTGTCATGTCATGTCATAGTGAAGGTAAGACATGGCTTGCATCTCCTGTGATTGTGAAGGTAAGACAACGATTGTCATCTCCTGTCATAGTGAAGGTAAGGCAAGAATTGTCATCTCTTGTCATAGTGAAGGTCAGACAACGATTGTCATCTTCTGTCATAGTTAAGGTAAGACAACGATTGTCATCTCCTGTCATAGTGAAGGTAAGACAACGATTGTCATCTCCTGTCATAGTGAAGGTAAGACAACGATTGTCATCTCCTGTCATAGGGAAGAGAAAACAATTGTCATGTCCTGTTATAGTGAAGGTAAGAGAAGGCTTGCATCTCCTGTCATTGTGAAGGTAAGACAACGATTGTCATCTCCTGTCATAGTGAAGGTAAGACAACGATTGTCGTCTCCTGTCATAGTGAAGGTAAGACAATGATTGTCATCTCCTGTCATAGTGAAGGTAAGACAATGATTGACATGTACTGTCATAGTGAAGGTAAGACAACTATTGTCATCTCCTGTCATAGTGAAGGTAAGACAATGATTGACATCTCCTGTCATAGTGAAGGTAAGACAACGATTGTCATCTCCTGTCATAGGGAAGAAAAAACGATTGTCATGTCCTGTCATAGTGAAGGTAAGACAAGGATTGTCATCTCCTGTCATTGTGAAGTGAAACAAGGATTGTCATCTCCTGTCATAGTGAAGGTAAGACAACGATTGTCATCTCCTGTCATAGTGAAGGTAAGACAACGATTGTCATCTCCTGTCATAGTGAAGGTAAGACAACGATTGTCGTCTCCTGTGATAGTGAAGGTAAGGCAAGAATTGTCATCTCTTGTCATAGTGAAGGTAAGACAATGATTGTCATCTCTTGTCATAGTGAAGGTAAGACAAGAATTGTCATCTCTTGTCATAGTGAAGGTAAGACAATGATTGTCATCTCCTGTCATAGTGAAGAGAAGACAACGATAGTAACCAATTCACAAATGTCCTAGCATTGCTATCATTTGCCCGTACACAAAATATAACATTGTGTTCAGTTGTTCTCAGTGTCATCCTTGTAATATGTAACATGGCAACGATTTGTGTGGCACAATGCTCATTAGCTATATAGTTCATCTACCTTGCTAAATCCCCAGAGAATATGCGTCTTCATGATGTCAGGCAGTGGAAGAGTCATGACGCTGGTGAAGGTGGCATGTTCTTGGAATACAGATAGAGCGTAGATCTCGTCCATGATGACATGCAAGTCATGGCTGCAAGCGTTTTATATTGAAATGCTCATATGCTTCTATAAATGGGAAATATGAATGCTGTATGTAAAAACAGACTTAACCTTTTATGCTAATACATAAACATGCATCAGAGATTTGAATATTTCGTGGGCATTCACATCACCACAGTTAGTGATTGCCAGTGCACTTAAATGAAAATAAATGGAAATTAAATAACTGGTAGGTTATTTGTGATGTTTAATAGAATCACATTTGTTACACTCTGGTTACTTTATTTGAATATGCATCTCGCATGGAGTGATCAGTTGCGAGATGTTTATAGTTCTGTACATGGGTATGATTGGTCGTGCACGGTAGCGTGTGAAGACGGGAAGTTGTTTATAGTTCTGTACATGGTATGATGGGTCGTGCACGGTAGTGTGTGAAGACGGGAGGATCTTTATAGTTCTGTACATGGGTATGATGGGTCGTGCATGGTAGCGTGTGAAGACAGGTGGATGTTTATAGTTCTGTACATGGGTATGATGGGTGGTGCACGGTAGCGTGTGAAGACGGGAGGATGTTTATAGTAGTGTACATGGGTATGATGGGTGGTGCACGGTAGCGTGTGAAGACGGGAGGATGTTTATAGTTCTGTACATGGGTATGATGGGTGGTGCACGGTAGCGTGTGAAGACAGGGAGGATGTTTATAGTAGTGTACATGGGTATGATTGGTCGTGCACGGTAGCGTGTGAAGACAGGTGGATGTTTATAGTAGTGTACTTGGGTATGATTGGTCGTGCACGGTAGCGTGTGAAGACGGGTTGATGTTTATAGTAGTGTACATGGGTATGATGGGTGGTGCACGGTAGCGTGTGAAGACGGGTGGATGTTTATAGTAGTGTACTTGTGTATGATTGGTCGTGCACGGTAGCGTGTGAAGACGGGTTGATGTTTATAGTAGTGTACATTGGTATGATGGGTGGTGCTCTGTGGCGTGTGAAGATGGGAGGATGTTTATAGTAATGTACTTGGGTATGATGGGTGGTGCACGGTAGCGTGTGAAGACATGTACATGGATACGTGCTACACGATACAGGTACATTGATACGTGCTACACGATACAGGTACATGGATACATGGGTACATGCTACACGATACAGGTACATGTTACATTATACAGGTACATGGGTACATGCTACATTATACAGGTACATGGGTACATGCTACATTATACAGGTACATAGGTACGTGTTACACGATACAGGTACATGGGTACGTGCTACATTATACAGGTACATGCTACATGATACAGGTACATGGGTACATGCTACATTATACAGGTACATGGGTACGTGCTACATTATACAGGTACATGGGTACATGCTACATTATACAGGTACATGGGTACGTGCTACATTATACAGGTACATGGGTACATGCTACATTATACAGGTACATGGGTATGTGCTACATTATACAGGTACATGGGTACATGCTACATTATACAGGTACATGGGTACATTCTTCATTATACAGGTACATGGGTACATGCTACATTATACAGGTACATGGGTACATGCTACATGATACAGGTACATGGGTACATTATACAGGTACATGGGTACATGCTATATTATACAGGTACATGGGTACATTCTATATTATACAGGTACATGGGTACGTGCTACACGATACAGGTACATGGGTACATGCTACATTATACAGGTACATGGGTACATGCTACATGATACAGGTACATGGGTACATGCTACATGATACAGGTACATGGGTACATTACACGATACAGGTACATGGGTACATGCTACACGATACAGGTACATGGGTACATTCTATATTATACAGGTACATGGGTACGTGCTACACGATACAGGTACATGGGTACGTGCTACATTATACAGGTACATGGGTACATGCTACATGATACAGGTACATGGGTACGTGCTACATTATACAGGTACATGGGTACATGCTACACGATACAGGTACATGGGTACATGCTACATTATACAGGTACATGGGTACATGCTACATTATACAGGTACATGGGTACATGCTACATGATACAGGTACATGGGTACATTATACAGGTACATGGGTACATGCTACATTATACAGGTACATGGGTACATTCTATATTATACAGGTACATGGGTACGTGCTACACGATACAGGTACATGGGTACATGCTACATTATACAGGTACATGGGTACATGCTACATGATACAGGTACATGGGTACGTGCTACATTATACAGGTACATGGGTACATGCTACACGATACAGGTACATGGGTATGTGTTACATTATACAGGTACATGGGTACGTGCTACATGATACAGGTACATGGGTACGTGCTACATGATACAGGTACATGGGTACATGCTTAACGATACAGGTACATGGGTACGTTCTACATTATACAGGTACATGGGTACGTGCTACATTATACAGGAATATCCTGTATGTATTTAGTATATAGGTACTCTAGGTACATAGGTACCTGACATAGGTGCTTCGACTATTTTGTCCAATAATGATAACTGCTACCGGACTTGACATTGAATTGAAACACTTTAACACAGATATCAAACACAGATATCTGACACAGATATCTGACACAACATCACAGATGGGTGTGTGCCAGGAGCTATCGATACAAGCACTCTAGACAAATACTCAAAAAATGTATGAGAAACAGATTGTCGACAATGGTACCGAAACAGATAAAGATGCCTTACACAGCTATCCGACATCTCAACAAACCTTACCTGTGTGCAAACGTGAGACAAGTCGAGGAGTTGCTTCTTCGTGTAGATGTCGCCAAGTGGATTATGGGGGTTGATGAGAAGCAGGCCGCGTACAGTGTGCCCCTGTGAGTGATAACAAACTGTATAGCATTATTTACATACACTATGTATTGTGATGAATTCAGTATTCAGGCTGAGTATAACTTCTTCCATGACCAGAGCTGCGGTTTATAAAGAAATAAAATCTACCAACAGCGTGTCACTTTTGGCCTCCCCTAATCTCTCTCTGTCTCTCATTATAGTGATACTTAACGTTACTATATGTATCGGCCACAGCAAAGTGGGGGTGAGAAATGAATGAACGGAATACATTAAACCACCAAGCCCACCAGGTATTCACTAGTATTGCTGTTCAGGGTATGCACACTTTTATAAAAGGCTTACGTAAAAAATATGCAACTGATAAAATTTGAATAAAGGGTTAAGTGTTCGCTGGAAGACGCCACACAATAGACTCTACACCCACAAGACAGTCAACTGACAGACCAGGCAGTCCAGTGACAGAATGGCATATTGATACATTCTATTGGACTAAAAGCGATAGTTTCATCATGAAATATGCCTTCTGCATACAAGCAAGTACATATATCCTGTATAGAATCTCATAATAACAGGCAGGTCTTCTAGGAATAATCCCAGAAAGTTCCTAACATCTATTGCACATTATTGTAATAAAAAACAATATAAAGATAACCAGACCTTTCATTATTTCATTAGTTACAATAAATATATGACAATGTACATACAAGGTGCCCGTTGTCTGCCTCACATGTCAGAGCATGTTTGTGTAGCTAAATTCATTCATTCTCACACAACATGCACATTTATTCTATTGTGTTGTCGCATGATTGTAAGTGCAAAAATATTGAACTTCTTCACAAAAGTTAGTTTGGAAATAAAGATACATTGTTACCGTGTTAATTTCATAATACATAATAATTTCATAATACCTAAACAAATATATTCTTACGATATGTAAAACATGACATACTAGTTGCATGTCGCCAGTGACTGTGTATATATTTGTTGCATCAAACTAACACTAGTGATAGTGAATGTTATCTTTTCAGGCATCATCTGGAAGATATCATGCTGAAGTTTACTGTAGTCATATAAGCTAATATGTGAAGGTATCAGGCAAATGTTAATGACATTCCACTGTTGCCAATTCTTTGGTATTTTACGTTATGCTCCAAAAGAAAGAAAACAACATCAAAAGAGAAACAAAGATACATCCAGTAATTTTAAGGAAGACATTGAATGACAAATCCATTTGTTGTAATAACTTGTTAAGGTATTAATATGCTGGGAAGATACAATCATATACAGTATAGATAAGGGTGTATTTTACGTTTTGTGACGTTACAAGACCTTATACATAACCTGAGCACATCTGTATGGTTATCTGGTAAGGAGTATGCAACCGAAGTCCTTTTCCTGTCTCTTATGTTCGCACTATATCATTTAACTTGCGTGGCTCATAATTATGACTGATGTATTTTACGTTACAGTTCCATATATACTATTTAACAAAACGTGCATATGTCACTAACAACTTTGATGACGTCATGAAAACATGTTGCATCATTCATGCTGATTTCAATGTGCGTGCTGCTCATGATCTGAAGCTCTGACGGGTTAAATCATCAGTATGTAAGTACTGAACTTTCAACCTTAGGATTCTTGTATATTTGTACAAGTCAAACTGTTAAACGTTTATCAATGCGTGTAATGAAGATGTTCTAATGAGATGTATCATGTATAAAACATACTGAAATTACCATATGGTTTTCGTAACGTGATATAAAATACAGTTGCTGTAACGTATAATACAATTGGATTGTACTGGCGTTAAATGAACATAAATGCCTATATAATCCAACGTTTATTGTTAAACATTTGTTAAAGATATGTCATTAATTTATTTGTATTTGCAGTGTTCTGAAAATGTGTACTGCAGCCGTTATGTTTGACTGTATTTTACGTCACAGTTGTATTAAATGTTTATTACCTTACAGTGATACATTGGATAACTACTATGGAGCAAATAATATATTTCCATGTCACATAACTCCTTGACGTTGTTTATAACTATAGAAATGCCAGTGTAAGGCATTCAATATTACTTTAGATGAACTAGACAATGTATTTGGAAATTCTTGTTTGAAGTTTCAGCAATTGTCAGTATAACGGTCAAATTCTACATAACATCGCATTACTCTTTTGATTTATTTGTGTTGAAATTAACTTAATGTTGTTAAAGGATTTTGGCAAACAATTAAAACAAGTTGTACTATAGTTTTACATTAATATATAACATTAAATTACTTTGTGTGACGTAAAATACACTAGTAAATACCCCCACTGCTAGTAAGATGAACTTTTCTTGAGTACAGTTGTCCCAAATGTGTCCGCAATAGTAAAAAAAACAGAAAGATGCATAGATAATTTCTAAACATTTATGCGATAGTCAATATTTCAAACTTCTTAAGCAGTTAATCAATAAACTAACTTTCATGATCATAGAATTGATGTGAATATCTGTTATTTTGAAGGATCAAGCGTAGGTGCTTGTGATTTTCTTCGTTTTCAATTATAAAAAACGTTCATTGTAAGCTGAGGTAAGCTGTTTTGTTTTCTACTAATTTGCATTGATTTCTGTTTGTAAGGAATAAATGAAAGCTTGAATATTTTGGCCCAATTTTAAATTCGATATATGGCATTATTTAAGCAGTCTGCCTCTATGTCAGGGTCATCAATTATAACATATAGAGACATGTCATCTGTGAAAAGTCTAATATTGCTTTCAGTACCATATGCAATATCATTGATATAGATATTATGAACAGTAGGGGTCCAGAGACTGATCTTTGTGTGACACCTGCTTCAATACTGGTCTAGGATTTGTTATGTGTCCATGAATTACAACTCTATCATTCAAATAACTTTCAAACCACTTTAGTAGGTTACCTTGAATGCCATAGGATTTTAATTTATGCAGGATTCCTTTATGCCAAACTTTATCAAATGCTTTACTAACATCACAAAATACCGCTCTTACTTCTTTTCTGTCGTTTAACGCTTTAGCTATGAAGTCATATAGAGAAGTTAGCTGATTAGTGTTTAGCTAGTATGATAAAACCATGGAACTCACTAAGTCAAAATATTGATACCTTATCCCGATAAAAAAATTTCGTTATGCAGACATATGCAACAACAAAACCATTATCTTTTAACTAAACTTTGAATCAGGAATATGCCATTCTATCTAATCTCGCCTCAGGCTCCGTTGGAGTGATTTGAATGTCTATAAGTTTGACAGATGTGGTGGCACATGGTTCTGTGCATAGCGCTCAGGTCACAAATCAGTTGAAATTAAGCAACGTTGGTCTCGGATGGGTGACCGTGTTGGGAGCTTGACTCCTGAGAGTTTCTAGGACTTCAGTCCTGCCCCACAACAAAGCGCATGTGATGCATGTGGTCTCACCTTAGGCAAGTGTGTTTGTTCAAAATTGCCTCTGTTCACCCAGCAGAAACTGGGTACCCGGTTGGGTAAAGTCATGTGACTATAACCTTCTAGCGCCTAACAGGCAGCTTGGGTTATCCGGGGTAATAATAATCAGGGTGTTAGCGCTTGGAGCATGCTTTGTTGCGTGGAGATTAGCGCATTATAACACTTCTCATTATTATTTATTATTAAGTGAACATCTAAACGAAAATACTGTACAAAATCTCTTCACATGCAATACATACACTGAATTATGACAAGAATCATCTTTCTATTTAAATGGATTTAGTGCTATGGGGATGTACATCGCTCACTAGCAATGACGAACATATATTATTGGAATCTACTTCATCAATACTTTGATATTGACTGCCAAACAAATGAATTGATATTCATGCAATATCCTTTTCTTAATAGCTGATAAATAAGAATGGCATCATCATTGAGCCATCTGTTTCTGTATTTACTTGTACATGTACATATACTTACATATGGGAGCTGCCTTCAAATAAGCTCCTGAGAGCTTGTCGGCCAAGCCATTCATGACTATACTTTGGTATTTCGCAGGCACCAGCGACTTCAGTATATTGACTTCATGCATATCCTTTGGATATATGTGTTCAGTACACTTAGTTATTGTTAAGTTATTAACAACAGGGGTATTGACCTAAGCAAACATAGCTTGTTAGCTGAACCAGATTTCCCCTGTGATAAACTCAACTGGAAAACAACTCATAGCTTTTTAGCAATGAACATCACCACCAACTGAAGGAAGAGCTGCATGCCATCCCTGATTTAAACACTCATCTATAATTCAGCTTATCTCACTTTAAACTCAGTAAAAAATATAAAACATTCGTTTTGTGGTATTTAGCACTTCGACATAGTTAAAAACAGTTATCGGGACTTCACCCTAAAATGCCGTAGAAGCAACTCTTTCCATATTGATAAGAAATCTATTCTAAAAGCAGAGTTGGTTGAACAATTGTGACTATACAGAGCTCCAGATAAGATTTACTTCATGTGGGTACTGTACCCACTGTATTTTTTTGGAGTTGGTATTATGAATGTTGAGCGGGTATTTCATTTTCCGTTACCCACTGCTTTCAAATACAGTATGTGCGTATTTCAGTCATTTTACTCACCTAAGTATTATGTGACTGAGTAAGTCTACTAAGCAGGTATGTTCTGCTTTATGACTATGTCATACCTAATCAAAACCAAATTAAATATAATGGAAATGAGTTCATAAAAAAATCACTCATCATAAATGGACAGTACAGCACTTGTCCTATACTAACAGTACAATTTGATAGCCATCGATGTCTTTTTCATTACGCAAGCGATTTTTATAAATATATTCCGTACGCATTTGTTTTAAACTTTTTGCGTATCTAACATTTTAAATGCATAATGGGTATGCAACAATTATTTTTCAATGCGTAATTGGAAATTTTATATGTGTATTTTACCCGGATATGCAGCTTATCTGGGCCTCTGATTATACCATGAACATATTTATGAGTCAATAATATATTTTGTATGTGTTGTATATAAAGTAGAATTCATGTAATGATAAATGATTGAAATTTCATTGCGTACTTTTAGTCATTTTATTTTATCATATTACTCAGCTTGCCTTTTAACTATCTCTTTGAGTGGCATTTTAGAAGTTGTGAAGATGAAGAAAAACTGATTTCTATGGATAGTCAACTTCTTTATTGCAATGAGTGCGATGTTTCGGTGTAGGTACTGACATCGTTATCAAGCAAGTGATACTTGTTAGTACCTACACTGAAACGTCGCAGTCATTGAAATAAAGAAGTTGACTATCCATAGAAATCAGTTTTCCTTTTACTATCACTCACAGCCAGTTCACTGAGCATGCTTACGACATACTTACAACATGAGACTGAGTTCTTTGAACTTACACCGAAGTGTGTCGCTGCATAAAGAAGTTGTACCTCCACATATTGCTATCCTGCCTTGTGGTTACAGTTCACTGCTCAACACACTACCATTAGCCCTTCCCTACTTGAGCCATTTTGTCTTTATGGCCAGCCTGGGGAATCAGCCATACTTGACACATTAGGTCTGTGGTCTGTGGTCACTCAATCTTTATTCGCCAGAAGAATAAGCTATCCCATTGATTTTCTTGGATTTTCTCTTTGGACATATGATTGGATCGTGTTCTGATGTAAGTTTTAGTATTGTATTGGATATTTTATACATACCTCACTGAGAGCTTTATTGTAAGCTGCCTCCAGCTTATCAGCTGACAGGTGGAACTTGTCCTGAAGCAAAGAAAATACTTGACATTGGAACCAAGACATTATTATCCTGCAGAACAGAAGGCCTTGCTAACACATTGGACGTCAAGGCATTTTCTTATTGAGGCTTGAACGATATCATTGACACTGACACAGATTATGTTCACACTGAAGCACAGAAGGTTTCATTGACATGTGCATTGCCTTGCCTTGTCTTAATATACATATTCCAAACAGGTATGGAGGCATGAACAAAAACAGGCGTGAAAATCTTCTCCAAATGCAAATCATCTACCTGTCTACCAGCATAGATTATCTTACTCCCGGAGTAACATATATTAGTAACATATATATGTATAACTGGACTGTAATCTATAGGAGTTTAATACTTGTTTTCTATTTTGCTAACCTGACTCTGATTTCGTATGCATAATAGATAAAACGAGCTAGATTGGTAATCATTTCATGTTTTCTTGTTCTTTTAATGATATTACTAATGTATATCATATTAACTTGCAAATTTGTAGGCAAAAATCTACCCCGAAGTTCTTTATATGCCGATCATTTCAACAAACAGTGATAATCATTTTCTAGATCTATTTTACACACAAGACACATTCTTAGATATGCAGCAATATTTTGCCACCTGCCTACATTATTCTTTAAACGTAAGACACCATCATGGAATTTGATCAATATGTTACAGAATATATATTCCAAATTGGAGGACAGATACCCCTTTGGCTCAAGAAAATACTTATATTCTGTATATAACTTATAACCATTCTCTTCCCACAGAGGTTACTCCTGTCATATCTTCCTACGTAACCTCTGTTCTAATACGGCCCTTTCATGGTGTGAGCGTTCAAGACTTGTGATTGGAGGCAATCAGATTTAGTTGTGCAATCAGCACGTTGTTTCAAAAGTGATCATTCACAAGGCCTCTGTAATTTCCGTATACTGCGAGAAAACTAAACCTCTTCCCCTGCACGATGCGCAAACGTTTCTTCTAGACAGAACTCAGTCATGTTATGGTGGATCAGTGGCGTCTCCATCGCCCTCATTGACAACAGACAAGCTAGCCATTAAACGTCTTGTGTGTAACAGAAGTCCCCGGCAGATGGGGGATATTTGTGGCCTCACATTTGCTTGTGTTAGTCAAGTTGAATCTAAGTCGATGTAACACGTGTTCTGATTGGATAGAAAGAAGGGAGATAATTCGTGTTGCGATCTTTTGCCGCAAGTGGATTTTACGAGAACCGGGAAATATGGCTGTATTAGAACAGAGTCAAGAGTAGTTATCTTACCTCACACACAAATGTCGCTTTCTGACTGGCTGAGCGCTCTTCTATTATTTTCAATGTACCCCGCTTACAAGCAAGTCAATGGCAACTCATTTGGTGCCTCATTTGGTGCTTCGTGGTAGTAATTCTTTATCTCGAATAACACTAAATGATGTATGATATACGGAAATTACCGATATTTTGTGAATGCAAATCGATGAAAAAGAACATAAACAAACATCGAGGGTACATCAACCCATGCCCCCCTCATGACCAGTGAACAACTTATAATGTCCAATTTCGGTAAAACAAGTTGCTCAAGCCTTCTGTCATAATGTGAATAAAAGCACATGGATCACCAACAGCTTGTGAAAGCCAGACACATCCAAACCCACGTGAGCAAAGTATATTGCATATGACAGACAGACAGAATTTAAAACATATTTATAACACATAGGTAAAAAATAAATCTGTGGCATAAAATGGGTAAAATAATACCTGAGAAAAGGATATAGGGGGTGTGGCGGGAGTTAAATGAATATTTGGCGTTTAAAAAAAACATATCTCGGACATTAACTGCAGTGCGTTTGATATTTTGGGGGGTTTTGTCACTCATGGTTTAAACAAATATACTCTCCAAAAAACGAAATGTTACACATTAAAATTGATACAATTATATATTTCTGCTATCACTCATGTTGGCAAAAAGTGGATGTTGGCAACAAAACAATTTTATAGTGCACAACTCTTAAGTCTTTTGTCCTGAAAGCCCTCAGTAACAAGTGTGCCCTCCCCTAGCCTCTATCACTGCCTGACATCAACGTCCCATGGAAGCGATCAGGTTGCGAACAGCTAGTCAGGGAATGTTCATCCATTCCTCTTGGACAGCCTGAAGGAGTTCCTGGTGATTCTGGGGTTGTGGGCAACGTTGACGTACCCCAAAGATGCTCAATGGGAGATAGGTCCAGTGATCTGGCAGGCCATGGCAAGATATGGATATTGTGAGCATGCAGGAAGCCCCTAGAAACAGAGGTCTGAAGTTGTCTTGCTGGAACACACCACCATGATGTCTTAGAAATGGCACGTCGTGGGGTTGCAAGACGTTATCTCTGTATTGCACCGCATTCAGATTTCTCAGGATTTCTACACCCACTCTGTCCTGAAGTTATGGTTTATCCCTGCCCAAACCATGACACTACCACCTCCAAAGCGATCAGCCTCCTGCACACAGTTGCGTTGATAACGTTCATTACATCAACGATAGACACGTGCTCTGCCATCAGCTCTCCTCAAAAGAAATCTGGACTCATCTGTGAACAAGACGGTTCTCCACCATTGCACTGGTCTAACTCGATATCTTGTGCACCATTGAAGACATTGCGGTGGCATTGTTTCAGGACATTTTGTCTTGCCAGGCGTCTTTGCGGATTCCATGTTCCCGAAGACGGTTACGGACAGTTTGACTGGAGATGTTCCTCAAACCAGGGATGCTTGCTGCTGTTGCGGTGGTTGAACGAAACTGATCACGGAGGTGTTGAACTTGGATGTATCGATCTTGAGCTGGGGTGGTAACTTTTGGTCTTCCTGATCTTGGTCTATTGGAAACACCTCCAGTGGCCTTGAGTCGCATCCATAACCTGTTTATGGTTGAACTGCCTTGCAACCTCAGCTTGACTGGTCCCACTCTCCAGTCTGCCAATAGCGTTGTTACGTTAAGCGTTGGATAATCTTGGCATTGTTTCGCACTTCAGTATGTTCAAATCTCAAAACATGCACAACGCAAACGTTGCTTTGAGTCGACATGAACTCCTGTGTTTTATAGCCAATGTTCAAATCTTTACATACATGCAAAATGTTTTATATACAACGCATTTTAAATCATCCAGTGCTTCCATGACTTCTGTTGGGCTGTAAATATATGTTTGTTTAATGTCGTATGTTTTTTAACCTTTGAGAGGAAGCGAATTTCGTTTTCAATTTTATTTGGGCAGAAGTTGCAAAACTCTGTGTTCCAATGGGTTGGAAGGTCTGTTGTAGCGGCCAGTTTCAATATGGAGGGGCAGGCTTCCACAACACAATCTGGATAAGTATTTCCTGTGGTTTCTTGACGTTATAGTTCTGACGTACGTTTCAGTGATAGATCCTTTTTAAAAAGTCTATAACAATGAAGCTTGTTTCCATATGTAAGATTTGATTTATCGTCCCAATGCTCCTTAATTTCATTTCTTTCTTCAGCTTTAACATGACTCATGGTATGGATTCTGGCATGTTAAGTATGTTGACGATATTAAGTTGCCGATTTTCAGAACAGTGTTCTAAGAACTTTTTTTTTCTTTTTTTTGTAACTTCTAAAATCCTGCGTGGTAATCCGTTAGTCACATTTCTGTTCATCTTCAGAAACCATCTAAAAGCTTTCAGTCTCTGTTTAATGAGGCAGGATTCCCATCCCATTTCTCCTTGAACAGCTCAGTTTGATGTACAACGTGAAACTCCCAAGAAGAATCTGCAAGCTCGGTTCTGTATATTGTTTATTTCTTGGTGACTGTAAAGATCTCAAACTGGAGCTCCATGGAACAGAAAGGGCTGTACAGTAGTTTCATAAAGTTTTGTGAAAATGTCATAAGCTATGTCCCCACATCTGTAATACTTAGTTCTCAATGAGGATAGTGCATGTCAGCACTCTTGGCGATTTCCTTTACCGCATACTTTATGTTAAGGTGCTCCTTGAACCACAGGCCTAAGTATTTATAAGCATTAGTAAAATCTAGGAATTCGTTGTTACAGGAAAATACATATTGGGAAGTTGGTATGGACTTATTTCTAAAATGCACAATCTTGTTTTTCTTCTTATTTACATGAAGTTGCCATTTCAAACACCAATTTGTGACTGCTTCAAGAATATGCTGTAGTTTATCTTAAGTGGGAGCAAGAACGACAACATCAGCGTAGAGTAGTAGGGATAGACAGATGTCATCGAGCATAACACCTTCCTTCAACTTGAGTCGTTGATGTAAAGTCCAAATAGAGTGGGCAAAATTAAACAGCCCTGCTTAACGCCCCAGAAATATCAAAACAAGGAGTCATCATGCGCAGAACTCTTGATATTGTCGTACATACATTGTCTTGAACATTTTACCGTTTATCCCAGCTTTTCTTAGTTATAGCCAGAGGCAAGATTTATCCACATTGTCGAAGGCTTTTTTAAAGTCTATGAAACCTGCAAGAGTTTGTTGTCTGGCGTCCAGTCTGTTCCTGACAACTGATTACAACTTAAACATGTCGTCGAAACAACTTCTATTCTTTCAGCAACCGTTCTGCTCTTCTACACGAAAATCCATAGACTCAAGCCAGGACGTCAAGCGTTGATTCAATATATTACAATAAACCTTGCAGGGTACAGACAGTAAACTGATGCGTCTTTAGCTATGGGGTGAATGACACTTGTCTTCCAGGTCTCTGGGATGATTCCTTTGTTCAACACACAAGATATGACAGATCTCCGACGCCGCCAGCATGGTAGCCAGCAGTATCTAGGTAATACAATCTGTCATATGCCTTTCTCAGAACTCGGCCATCATGTATTGTCGTTAACTTAAGCCAGTCTGCCACCTTTCGAATTAATATATGCTGGAAATCTACATTCTCCATATACTAGGTGTATATACCATTTGGTGCCGGACCGACAATTAAGAATATTTTACACTCCAGAATTTTATTTTTTTTCAATACCATCATATTTTT